GAGCTTGGTGTATCTAGATTTATTCCTGCCCTGAATGCCTGATGGAACTGTAGCTGTTTTGATAGAATTTTGTCTTAGAGGAATAAAGTTAACAGACATAAGAGCATAGTGTACGTGGATTTTTTTTTTTCCTTCAGATATCCCCCGCTGGATGCAGTGTCTTCCCCAGACTCTGGTCAATCCATGTCTGGTGCCTTGAACAGGTTACTAATAGAACCAGGGGAATAGGTAAACAAATACATCCAGGGAGAGATGTCACTTGGCGGAGGCTGTCCAGAGAGAGGCAGTTTCCCAGAGGGTCATAGAGGTGATCTCTGAAGGTTTCAGCTATGTTGCAGATTTCACCAAGGGTGCTGCAGACCCGGTATCTTCATATCTCGTGAGTGGTAACTATCAATAACCCTTTTCGCTTTACCAATCTCTTCCCTAATAATATTAGTTCTTGCACCATGGGCCAGAACCACTCAAAAAAAAAAAACAAAAAACAGCTTTTGATAGAAGTTACAGGACACAGACTTAAAATGAAAGGCATTTCAGTCAGCTCTGGCCAGTTTACAGGCTTAAATATGGAAAAGCCGCTGACCTTATGGAATGGCTTTAGCAACAGAGATCCTAACCCCTCCCTTCTAGGGAGAAACTTGCCATTATTTCCTTAGGGATCTTACAGAGAGATTACACCACAAGACCTCCTGAGAATGTGTACTAGAGTAAATGAGATTTGCTGTTTTCTCTGAGATGGCAATTCATGTATCAAACAAATTTTTTTCTGCTAAAACTCACTGCAAAACTGAAGTATTAACTTGAGCTGAAACCTCCCTGCAGCTAGCTAGGAGCTTGGTTCCAGCAGCCTTCATTTAAATAATAATGCAAGCCTCACAACCCCACCAGAGTCTGTTTAAAAACTAATGGCAACCCCCATCTCTCCTATCACTGTTTCAAAAAAAAAAATGTCTTTTTCTCTATCCTTCTCTTTCTGGACTTCTACAAAGTTCTTAATTAAAACCTTGGCCAAGTCCCAGAATCTCTAACTATCAAATATGAAGGAAGGGACACCTTCCGACTATCTGAACTCTTACAGGTTTTCTCGGACATCCAGAGATGTTTGGGGACTAAAAAATCCTACCTAAATAAGTGCTTATTTCTCTTTAAACATCTGCTTTCCTTTTTCTCTTAGAATCTAACTCTCTGCCACATGTGCCTCAGCTCAACATCTCCATCCCTATCTCCACCCCTTCCCTCACATTGCCATTACTGGCGACTGGTGATGAACTGTATACAGGCTGCAACTTTACAAATGCAACTTGAGGCTGGAGAGACAGCTCAGAGGTTAAGAACACTGGCGCTTCTTCCAGAGGACCCAGGTTCAATTCTCAGTACCCACATGGCAGCTCACAACTGCCAATGCTAGCTCCCCAGGAACTATTTGTAACTCCAGATCCAAGGGATATGATATTCCACACACAAGTGTACATGCAGACAGGACACCAATGCACATAAAATAAACATAAAAAAGAAAGGGACCCTCTCCCCTTTTTTAAATTCATATAACAATTATTTGGGGTTTTTACTGTGCTTATATTAATTCATGATATACCATAGAGGATTTATAAATTGTTACTCTCCTTATATGCTATATTTCTCTATAAGAGCTCCTGTTTATGTTTTAAAGTAACTTCAAGTACAGTGTTTTTAAGCGTAACCTATAGGTATAAAACTTAAAGTTCTAAGTTTATAAGAACAGCTAACTTATAAACTATTAAGAATAAGTTTACTTTAATTATAATTTAAAGATAATTTAGAAATACAACCTACTGATATATTGGTCAACTTAACTGTAAACTGTTAAGCATCAATTGACTTAAATTATAAGCTATTAAAGATAATTATGAAGATACAAACTAAAGCTTGATCATGTTAATAATGATCAAGTTCTCTAACATATAAAAATCATATTTATAGACATGCTAAGTATGCCAAAAATAATCAATTCATTACTTAGCCCCCCTGCCATTTTAAAAATGTTTAAGCTTCCCACTTTAAACTTTGTACTGCCAGGGTTTAGTCCAAATTACATCTTGAGATCATTTAGATTATATTTCCATTTGCAAGGTCTAAAGATAATTTACCTTTTTATCCAATTTCAAATAAAAGATAGCTTACCATACTGATTTCAAAATGACCTTTTTTTTTTTTTTTTTTTTTTTTTATGAAAAAATAAATATATTGCAGCAGCCGGGGTGGTGGAGTACACCTTTAATCCCTGCACTCTAAGCAGTCGGCTGGAACTGGTAGGAGCCTCCTGGAGAGATGGTGGGTTTTTTGTTGTTGTTGTTTGTCTTTTGTTTTGACATGGGATTACAAGATTTACATTACTATGTAGTATCACATGTACTTTTCTGCATGTGTATTTCATGACTCAAACTTTACTTGGTGATGTGGTGGGTTTTACTCTCATTGTTCTTTTCGATGCAGGGTCTCAAGTAGACCAGGCCGGCCTCAATCTTGCTTTGTAGTTGAGGATGGCCTTGAACTCCTAAGTCTCCTGCTTTCTCCTCCTAAGCTCAACGGGTTAACAGACACGCACCATGCCCGACCTGATGGTGCTAAGGAACAGGCAGTATCTCTCCACTCACTACCTCTGGGCTTCTCCAGCTCATGTTGAGGGCTCTCTGGTGGTCACTCTGGCCTGTGAGTCACGGAGTCCATGTGTTACCAGAACAGTGGCTCTTAGAGCCCAACCTGGAATCCCCTCAGGGTCTTCAGTTCAACCCAGTGACACGGAGGCTTCATGGAACAGGTGCTGGCTGCCAAGCCCCATCTGCACTAGACCCTCCTCCGCCACCTTATATTGTCATTCCAAGGGCCCTTGTCTGTCTGTGACAGTTCTCAACTCCCCACATACAAGAATGTGGAGGTAGAGGAATGTAGACCAAATGAAGGTGTAGGTGGCTTTATGCTCATTTAAAATGTCCAGTCTCTACAACTCATTCAGGAATGTTCTCTGAGGCCTTGGGAAGGGCTGTTCTGGCCCCTCACTGGGATCATTCTGGGGAACTCCTTATTCAAGTGCCCAGCCCTCAGCTCTGTTCCTCTGTTGAATGGCGGGCCACTAGCCTCAAGCCCCCACAGGGTCCAATCTCCAGAGGTAGGATTCTGTCCACACTGCCACACAAAATCCTGACTCTAGACTTTTGAAGCTCCTAGGCTGTCCCCATGGTCCTGGTCTAAGCCTCTTCTGGGTCTGTCAGTCATCTCCAGTACCCAACATTGACAAGCCCAGGAGGGCTCCATGGAGCATGCGCCACTGTGGAAGGTTTCAGGTGCCAGGCAACGCCTCAGGCTAGTGCCGCGACAGACTTCCAGGCACACACTGCACCTGTGCGGGTTCCTTCCCTCCAACATAGGTTCATTTCCTTCTGGTGCACATGTCGCTCAGAGGTGATGGATAGGGTGAGTGGGGGTGGGGTAAACAGGTGGGAGGGGCTTCCTAGAGTGGGGGTGGGGGACACAGGACTATCAGAGAGGCATGGAAATAGGGGCGGGATTGGAAACCAGCCCAGGCAGAAGCCACAGCCTATAGCTGAAGGTCAGAAAGGCAGCCTCAAGAATTGAACAGAGGAGCATACTGGAAGTGAGGTGGGAGGCAGACCTAGGCTGAGGCAGGTGGAAGCTTCCACCTCCAGGTACACTTAAAACTCAGGGAGCCTCAAAGCTAAATTGTGGTCAATTGTACGCCTATGGGTGTGGTGGTGCACACCTTTAATCCCAGCACTGTGGAGGCAGAGGCAGGAGGATCTCTGAGTTGGAGGTCAGCCTGGTCTACATGTTTCAGGCCAACCAGGGCTACACAGTAGACCCTGTTCTCAACGAAGTAACAAAAGAAAGCCTATGCTCCTCTCAGGCAAGACTGAGGCAAGCCTCACCTCACTGTCTAGTCTACAACGGGCTAGAAAAGATCATTTCACTGTTCACGCCCCAGAGGCCCTCCTGGAAGGACACCTAGTAGAACTGTGCTCTGAGATCCCAGCCTCCATTCCTGGACAGAACTCAACCCCTAAGGTCTTCCCTGTTCACCAACCATCAAGGGTTCAGGAAGGGTTCCTGGGCATGGACAGGCACACTTCTTGCCCCAGAAAAGGGCAGCCCCTGGAATCTGTGCCCACCCCCTCCCAACTGTCAAGTCCTTGCTCCTTAGGCCTAGGGATGGAAGCCTTGGTTTTGTGTACGAGACTCGAGCTCTCGAGTCTTCAGGGGGAGAAGGGTGAAAGAACTCACTCAGCAGCAAGGGATGCTTCAGCTTCAGGAAGATGAAGAGTGAGAACCCAGGTGTGTGTATGGGGAGAACCCTTGGCTGCCTCTCCTCTCCAGTTTCCCATCCCAAGGGCTCTGTCAGCTCCTCTCACTGAGTGGGCTGAAAATCCTGGGGTCCTCTTCCAAGGTTCAGTTCCCAGCTGCCATTTCTGGCAGCTCACAACTTTGGGGAACTTCAGCTCCAAGGAACCTGCCATCTCCGGGTCCATGGCTGCACTCAGTGCACACCCTCACCTCCACCCCCACCCTGCAGCTGAAAGGGCTGGAGAAATGTTCAGTGGTTAAGATCACTGGCTGCTCTTCCAGAGGACCCAGCACCCTCGTGGCAACTCAATTCGCTCTAAATCCAGTTCCAGGGCACCCAACTCCCTCTCTGGCCTCCTTGGACACCAGGCACACATCTGGTGCACAGGCATACGTGCAGGCAGAACATCCATACACATAAAACTGAAAAAGAACTCCCCTCTGTGGACATACAGAGTTCTACAGAAGGCATATGAACGGGGCTGGGGTCAATGACTCAGGCCTCATCTCCTTCCTTGACAGTTAAGGACAGATTCCAGGGGCTGCCCTATAGCAGCAACTAGCAGATGAACTGGCATCCTGCTCTCCTCCAGTCCTAACATGAGACCACCACAGGAGGGACAATTCTTTCCCCTTGCCCACCAATAAAAAGTACTTAGTCTTGATGCCCACCTATGCCCTTTCCAGGGCAGTTTTATTGGTGCGATTTGTAAAACATCTTGCCATCGGCCAAGTCTTTGCCTTCCCTTGAGAGTGGCTGGTTCTGGCCCTAGCTCTGTAGACAATGCTGACCTCGAATGGATGTGGCCACAAAACCCATGTGATACTTTGTCAAAAGAGTCCAAGGGTAAGTCTGCATGGAGCTCCAGGGAGCAGGGGAAGGTGATGAGAGTTGGGTGTCTGTGTGGACAGCAGGCAGAGCCCTGGCTGGTTAGATGGGCAAGGTGAGCAAGCCCACAGGCACCCCAGCTCCAGGACACACTGCTGTGACTGAAGCCCTGATGGGGACAGTAAAATCTGAGATCCTGAGAGAAAAGCCCTTAGGCTAAAGTGTGTGGGGCCAGCCAGCATCAGCCCAAGGTGAGTGACATGATGTTCAGGGAGCTTTGGTGACTCTGGCTATGCCTTTTTGCTTTGGGGCTCAGCAAACCTGGCCCCCAAGGCTGAAGGAATCCACCCAGGAGTGGGGGAGTTTGGGAAGGAAGCAGCTGGAAGTGGTTTATGCCTCAAAGCCCACACCCTACAGGAGAGGCTGTCAGGAACCTGCAAACCTGAGGCAGTCCTCAGAGCTGCTGAAGCGACAGTCGTCTGGGGGCAAGATGGTCATCTTCCAGGGAAGAAGGTGGCCCGGAGACTTGGAAGTGGGGTCAGTCCTGCCAGATCCAAGATCAGGATGCCTCTGTCCCACGCCGACTCCCTTCCTCCTCCATCAGTAACAGGCGGCGCCGGCCAGCCTCATAGTCAGCCTCGTCCACACTGACCAGCAAGCGGACAGCCTCTCGGCCCACAGCCTCCCGCAGGGCCTCAGTCAGGAACACACCCCGAAGGGCCTGCAGCAGGGCACCACTCAGATAGTCACCCCAGAAGGCGTCCAGGTATGAGAGCTCTGAGAACTTGATGTCACACACCACAGAGCCCAGGTCCCTTGAGCGCAGCACAGCAGTGGCCTGTCCGAACACATCCAGCTGCCGGGCCAGGGCCTGCGGTCTCCTGGATGCCACGCCCTGCTCCAAGGCTGGCCCATGCTCGCAGTATTCTGCTCGAACCCGAAGCCGGATGTCTGCGGAGAAGGAGCAGCTCATCAGTGGACACCACAGTTCCTTTTCCCTCTGCCCTGCCCGCTTCCCACTGCCACACTAAGGAAGTCTGGACACCTACTCCTCTCTAGGAGGCCTGATGGGCTACTTCTGAGATACTGTATCCTCTCTCCAATTTCAACACCTCCTCACCGCTCCCTGAATCACCTGGCAGACTCCATCCAGCTCAACACTGCCTCTCCCCACTGAGGGGTATTCTTTCCCCAGTTCCTACAGTTCTTTGCTCCAGTGCCCCCTCCCAGCAAGGCCCACCCAGATTAAGCCTACTCCATCTAGATCCACCCACCACCTCACCTCACTCTCCTGCAGCACATTCAGCTCCCCAGACCCAGCCTGGTTTTCCCAAAGGTACGTGTCATCTTCTAACCCGCCCTAGCAGCGGCATCCTGAGTTCCCCTGATAGCAACACCCTGAAGGACCTGTACATTGCTCAGGCACACACCCTGGGGTAGAGCTGGTACTCAGTATTTGTGACTGTTTGTGAATGAACCAGTGCATAAGCCAAAGTACCTGGCTTTCGGCAGCCAGCCTCACACCACCTCTCACACATTGAGAGTCCCTGATCAAACAAACAGCCCATCCTCCCAGCAAGCTCCAGGGGGCAAGGGGTCTCAGCAAAGCACAACAGACCAGGCTCTGCTGAGGGTACAGTACTCTTTCCACAGACCGTAAGATGACAGAATAGTAAGCCCAAGGCTGCTAAGGGCCGCTGGGTCACCCAGGGAGGAGAATGAAGCCCTCACAGGGCCAAAGAAAGAGGGAAGGAGACCCCTGAGTTCATTATGTATCAGGAAGAACCATCAGGAAATGGCAGGTACCACCATCAGGAATGGCAGGTACCACCATCAGGATCGGCAGGTACCGCCAACAGGACCGGCAGGCACCGCCAACAGGAATGGCAGGCACCGCCAACAGGAATGGCAGGCACCGCCAACAAGACCGGCAGGCGCCACCATTAGTTCCCACTCTCACTGAAACACTCTGAGGTGTGTTTCTGTTACTTATCCACCACCTACATCTGCCCAAAGGAGGTGGCAGCTCTGCCCAGGGGACAAGGACAGGGCTTCTAAAGAGTCCATGCCAGCATGAGTTCAGGCTCATCACTTCTCATCCACATCCCCGTGGGAAGCTGTTCAGTGCTGCCTCTTCATACCTGGCACAGCTGGGCAAGGTCCAGCTGTGCTTGGGAACCACGGCAGCCAACACTTCTAGAACACTGATAACTGCCAAACATCCTGGACCCCAAGTGCCTAAGTCACAGAACTCAACTCAAAAACAACCCTGTCAGGCAGGCCCTATCGACCCCATTTGCAGATGAGGAAGTGGAAGCAAACAGGAGCGAAGTGACCAGCCCAAAGTCACACAGCCTGGCAGAGCCTCCTAGATTCCACAGCACGCGTCTCCAAGAATAGAAACCATCGGAGCCATGAGACATTAGACCATTGCTGTACCTCAGGGCAAGTCGGAGCCTCTGCCAACACAGGTCCCACCTAGAGCAGGGCACCTCTGCCTGAAGAGCTGTTAAAGAGAAGGTAAAAGAAGAGTGGGCAGAAAGCTAGGAGCCACTGGTGAGGCCATGGCACGCTGGTGAGGCCATGGCACGCTGGTGAGGCCATGGCACGCTGGTGAGGCCATGGCACGCTGGTGAGGCCATGGCACGCTGGATGCTCCTGAAACCACAGCTGTGCAATGCCAAGTGACTGACACTGGGCATGCCCAACCCTGAGGTCAGGGGCCACCTTCAACCCAACGGGAAACCAAAGCCCTAGGAGGATGAGTCTTAGCATTGTGGGCTCCTGTCACCTTTCACGGCAGTTCAGCAGAGAGCGGAAAGTAGAAGGCGGGTCCCCAGAACCCCAGATGACTTCTTACCACACTCACTTCCTCCCCCCACCCCAAACCCTTCCTCTTTGTGCCTTCAGGGGAACCCAGAGAAGTCAGGCCAGCCTCAGCTCCCAGGCCTCCTCTTGGACCCAGCTACCTCCATCCTCTGGGCCCCATCCTTGACTCCTATAAGCCTCTGGCCACATCTTCCCCGCTGAGGGTAGGGACTGGGGGAGTGGGAGAAACAGAACCTGCCCAAGGCCACGCAGGGCTGGGTAGAGGCAGAGCCAGAGGCAGCTGGTAGAGTCCCACAGACCTGAAAGTGAGTCCCAGCTCTGCCATACTCTAGCTGTGGGGCCTCGGGCATGTGACCTCACCTCTCTGAGCCTGTTTCCCCATCTGAAAAACACAAGCAAGAGGTCCCTGCTGCATGGTGGTCACGAGGAGTCAATGAAGCAACTGCTACAGTGCCTGACTCAGGCTTCCAGCACCCAGAAGGCCACAGAATCAGGAACTGATTTCAAAACCCACCTCTCCATCCACATGGCTCCCACCCAGGCCCTCACCTCTCTACTGTGTCTCTAAGTCAAGCTCCTCCAACTCTCCCAACTACTGTCCCATCTTCCCATGCCCTGCCTTCTGGCCACCCCAAAATACCCCTCATGCCCTCACAGAATGATCTGCCCACCTCCTCTGCCCAGATCACACACACTCACCCAGCAAAGCAGAGCATAAGGGACCCACTTCCAGCCCAGCCAGTCCCTTCCCTGACCATTCTCCTCCACAGCACTAGATCACTGAATGGACACTGAAATCATCCATCTACTCAGTCACGTGTGGAGGACAGCACAGAGATGCCTGCCATACACTCTCACTCAACAGAGTACCAGGCATCCAAGGATGAAGGAGGCCTGCCACAGGTGTGGCAGGGACAAGCTGCCCACCCTTGGGGGCTTTTCCTGTCTTAGCCCATCTAATCCTTAGGTACTTTCATCAATCACTGCTGTTTACAGACAAGGAAATGCTCTACCAGCCCATAATCTACCTCTGACCTGGAAACAGATCACAGCACAGGAAAGAGAAGGACAGGAAGTGCATAGTGAGCTCCACCTGCCATAGTTCCACCCCAGCCCTGAATCACCTGCTCACTACCCAGGCTTCTCCTTGACCCCGAGCCAGTATAAACAGGCACCACCCGAGTGCCTCTACTACAGGCTGCCCCAGCACTGCGTGCATCATGTCCCTAAACCTTCTGATCATCTCCACGGCTTTATGAGGCAATGCTGTGCCTCCTGTTTGTGGATGAGGAAGCTGAGTCACACAGGTTGAGTCACCTAGACAGACGACTCCAGAATTCTATCTAAGGTGCCCAGCTCCGTTCAGAGCCCAAGCTCTTAACTACCCAATCCTGTCCACTGCCTCTCACACAAGCGCATATAAACACGTAATTAGAAGGCATTCTAAGGCCAGGAGGGAAAATGATAGGCAAGACTAGAGTTCCTTTCTAGGAAATGGCACTTGAAGTGAAATGTGAGGAAGACACACTGGATTAGCCAGGAAAACCAGAGAAACAGGAAGAGGAGTGTTTGTGGAAGAGAAGAGTATTCCAGAATGTGCAAGGAGAGAGAGCTTAGGACGGTCACCAGCTGAGGGGACAATGCAGCTGGAAGGAGGCAGAGGCCACTGGCAGCAGGGTTGGGAGCTCTGGTGTCATTAGCAGCAAAGCAACTTGCTGCAGACATCTGGAGGTGACCACACCTCTGCACGCATCAGTGGACTCCCTGTGGCACTACCCTCAAAGGTCCACGGTGACCACTGGGCCCCGAGCACGACTGACATGTGAGGACAAGACCACTGGCCTTGGTGATGACCACTGGAGCTGCTTCACGGGGGTGCTGAGTTGGCGGGAAGAAGCTGCAGAGAGGCACTCAGGAAGGAAGCAACAGGCCTGGCTCGGGCTGCAGTGATGGCCTGGTGGCTCAGGCTGCAGTGATGGCCTGGCGGGGCTGGCTACAACAGCCCTACCTTGGCCACGGTGGGGCCATGCCTCTCACACACACGGACTCGAGCACCTCCTTGTTCCTGCCTCACTTTGGGGACAGAAAAAGGTACAGAAATGAGAGGGCTTCTTGGGTGGGACCAGGGTGATGAAGGGAGCGGGTTCCTGAGGTGAGCCCTGAGGTGAGTTCCCTTGGGGTTCCTGGGGGGTGGGCTGGAGACAAAGATCCAGACTCTCACAGCCCACGTGGCCTCCTTGGAGATACTCATCACAGTGAGGGCCGGCGACTGCCCTCCTGGAGTCAACCGCAGGCTCCCACTCCGGTTGTCTGGCTGTGTCCTGACTGGAGTCATCCAGTCTTTTTCCAGAGTTATCTTTCGGAATGCCAACTCCTTCATCCCCCACTGAACTAGACAAGAGAGGCAGCTACCAAACCTCAAAGAAAGTAAGCAACTGCCTCTTGAGGGAAGAAAAAACACTGAGACCCCAGGAGAGAGCCTGGAAAATACAAACATCAGCACAGAGTGGTGGCACATGCAAGAGGATGAGGCAGGGGGATTGTCACAAATTCAAGTCCAGTTTGGGCTTGTATATGTAGACGGTGTTCCAAGCCAGTCTGAGCTAAGTGTGTTATCCCAACAAAATTAAAAAAAAATAAAAATAATTTTAAAAATCCAAAACTAAAAAAAAAAAGGACATTGGATCTGTCCATGAAATAAGTAACAAGACAAATGACAATTGGGGTGACTGCAAGACACACAACCCATGAGATGACATCAGCCATAATGGACAACTCGTGAAGAGCCGCAGAATTATTAGGTCAACCCATCTGTTGTATGTTTTTCATATTCAACACTGGGCCGGGCAGTGGTGCACATGCCTCTGACCCCAGCACTCGGGAGGCAGAGGCAGGCCGGCCTGGTCTACAGAGCAAGTTCCAGGACAGCCAGGCTACAGAGAGAAACCCTGTTTCAAGAAAACAAACACAAACAAAAATGGAAGCTGAGCATGGCGAGACAACATGCTTGGAGACAGAGGCAGGATGGTTAGTACAGGTCAAACCTTGGCTATATGGCAAGTTCCAAAAAAGGAAGGAAGGGAGGGAGAGAGGGAGGGAGGGAGGGAGGGAGGGAGGAGCGAGCAGAGCCAGCTCTGACAGCTCATGTCTGTAACCCCAGCACTCAGGAGGCAGAGGCAGGAGGCCACCTGCCTAGTGCCCACAGCAAGACCCTGCCTGGCCTGCTTCCACTCCCAGCAGTTTCTCCCATCTCGCCATCAAATCCTCATGGCCTCTGAGCCAACCGTGACCACCACAGGCACATGCACACGCAGGCCTTAGCTCCTGCTCTCTTTCCATGTGGGATGCTTCCTGTCTGAAACCTCTGATTTGTCTTATCTTCCCACCAGAAAAACAGCTCAAGAGAACAAGGCCCCGGCAGGCACTCTACAGACACAGAGGGAACAGGCAGAGGAGCGCCTGCCCAGCTCGGTTGCCATGACCCCCTTCCCTTCCCCTTCCTTACATTTGCATAATGATGGACACAGGCCCTTCTTCAACAGCTGTCTTGAGAACTGGAGGTCAGACAAGTATCACACCCAGCACTGTCCACTGGATGGCCCTGGAAAGTATGTGGACTCGGGGCCTGTGTCCAAACCCAGGGCCCTAACTACCCTTCTCGCTCCCTCAAGCACCCAGTGGTTTAGTTCTGTCTCTCAATGGCGGCAGCTGACTGGGGGCCAATCACTTTAAGTATGCTGGAGCAAGAATGGCCTAGCCCTTCCTTAGTCAGACCTGGGAAGGTTCATTGCCATGTTAAAGGTAAGTCATCCCCACTCTTCAGAAGAGAGAACTGGGGCCCAAGCAGGGAGAGCCTAAGCCAGCCCCACCCTGTTTGGTGACTCAGCATCAGATGAGCATTTCATGGTCCTTCAAATCCCAGCCACACCCTGACTAACAACCTTCTGGCCTCAGGGAAGAGACTTGAAGCCTGGATGGTCCTGCTCAGGTTCTCCCCAACCCTCAGCGCAGTGGCTCCCTAACCTCCCCAGCCAGCTGGGTAGCTGTGGTCATTGCCTGACTCCCTGCACTGGGCAGCCAGCCCCTCGGAAGGACATGGGCTGGCTATGCTCTGTGCTCCTGGCACAGGTATCTGCCACCTCATCTCTGAAGTGAGGGCAACACCCACTGCCTGGGAGGCCACACGGCAATAGGAGGGGCAGGTGTGACACTGTGCTTGCTCCGTGGATGGGAAGAGGCATCCCAGGCCAAGGCCTCCTGCGGGTCCTACAGATTCAGAAGAGCCCATTCTCCAGCTTCTGTGCCTACCCCATCCCTGGCCTAAGCATGTCGGCCACTGTCTGTAACCTCCAGCTTCTAGGAGCCCCTTCCGAGTGTACTGGCTACTCACCTGACGACACCCCACTGAGGACCCCTCCTAGCACCCCTTGGCCTCCGTCTCTCCACAAGGGTGTCCCTGCAGGCCCATCAGAGCACTTGGCCCATCCCTGGCTTTGTGCCAGCTAAGATCCCATGGTACCTTGGTGTATTTTGGTTATCCACTTAACACACTACCATGTAAACTCCTAGAAGCCAGGGACTTCCCAACCTGGTCTAATTCTGTGTCCTCAATGCCTGATGAAGAAGAGACGCTCAATGAGAAAAACTATGTGAAAGAAATGGTAAGTGAACCACTCTGGGGCTGCTACAACCCAGAATAAAATCTAGATCTCCAAGGCCCCTGTCTCCACCCACAAAGACTCTGCTTCCAACACTCGACCCCACTGGACACTGCAGAGGTCATACAGGGCCACATCCCAGTTCCTTCTCCAGCTTCCTCAAGCTCGTCCTGAGAGCAGTACCTCTTCAGAGACTGGAGGGTCCTCCTGTACCCCACTGCCTCTGTGGCACATCAGCCTGGCTGCTGTTTCCCTCACCCGTGTTCCCACAGCCTAGACACAGGATTCCAAGGTCAAGGCCAGCTTTGGGACTCTATAGTGAGTACCAGGCAAGTGTGGGTCATAACAAAAGCCTATCTAAACACAGAGAGGGAAAACAATGAAACTAGAAGCATGGACAAAAATCCAGACTCCCAACCATGTTGTAGCTGCCCAGCCTTCTGCTAGGGCCTGGCTGGCCTCCCCACCAGCCCTGGACAGCATCTCCCATTGCCTCAGCAATCCCAGTTCCAATGGACTATCACTCAGCTCAGCTGCAAGGTCAGCTCTACAGGGACAGGGCATCCCTGCTACAAGCCCTAGACAGCAAACCACACACACACACACACACACACACACACACACACACACACACACACACACACACACACA